CACACTTCTTTGGTTTTGTTTAATCAATGTCAATCAGTTCCTCAGTCTTTGCTTTCTTGACCTTGAAGGGTAAGGCCATTTACTTTGTGGGGTGTCCTCAGTTGGGTTTGTCTGGTGTTTCCTTGTGTTTAGATTCTGCATACACATTTTTGGCAGGAAAATCAGACCCGATGCTGTGTTCTAAGTGCATCACAGTAGAGACACGTGATGTTTGTCCTGTGCTTGTGATGTTTTCATTACTTGGTTAGGTTGTGTTCTTCCCATCATCAAGTCGCCATGAGTTTTAGCCTCAGTTGAAGATTCCGGTTGAGTCAGTTACCAAGATAGTTGCAATATGGTGATCTTCGAACCCTATCATTCATTTCTTACACAGAGGAAGCCCTCTTTTCTCTCCTGTTAAAATGTTTTTGTTACTTTAGTTATCAGGACAGACTCGCAGATTCTTTTTATTTTTTTTAAAATTTTTAAAAATGCTTTATTTTTGAGAGAGAGAGAGGTAGAGAGAGCATGAGCAGGGGAGGGTCAGAGAGAGGGAGACATAGAATTCGAAGACAGGCTCCAGGCTCTGAGCTCCCTGTCAGCACAGAGCCTGACACGGGGCTCGAACCCATGAACCGTGAGATTATGACCTGAGCTGAAGTCGGAGGCTTAACCGACTGAGCCACCCAGGCACCCCTCCCAGATTATTTAATTCTATGAACATTGTTACTATTGTTTTATTTTGATGCTCAGAGTGTACCACATTCGGCCAATCCGAGTTCCTTCAACCTAGCTTCTGTATCCCCATCATTTTAAGGATGGTTCCTTACTTTCCAGACCAAGATATTCTAGCCATCTTGTATTTTCCCTGCTCTAGCCCTGGAATCAGCCTTTTACCCAAGGAGCCCAACAGAGGGCATGAATGATGGGACAAAACCAAGAAGGAAGACACCATCCTGACAGCTGCACTCAGGCAGGAACGATATCCCAAGCAGATGCTGACAGCTGTGAGTTGCTCCGACTATACGAGGAGGGCCCTGTTAGGCTTGACTTCATTTATTTATTTATTTTTTTAATGTTTTATTTATTTCTAGGAGAGAGAGAGACAGCATGAGCAGGGGAGGGTCAGAGAGAGAGGGAGTCACAGACTGAAACAGGCTCCAGGCTCTGAGCTGGCAGTCAGCACAGAGCCCGACGCGGGGCTCGAACCCACAAACCGCAAGATCATGACCTAAGCGAAAGTCGGACGCTTAACCGACTAAGCCACCCAGGCACCCCAGGCTTGACTTCATTTAAAAAGGATGCTGACGATGGAGGGGTTCTGGAGCCCCATGGTGGTCACAACTGCACCGTGCAAAGCTCTGGACAGGAGGGGAAAAAGCGCTAATGGGATGAGCACGTGCAAATCGGGAGGAAACTGCTTAGGGTTGGAGCAGGCCCCTCAGGCCCCGTGGAGCTCACCATGAGGAACGGCTGGGAGAGACTTTCTTTGTGCTGTTGGAAGGAGTGGGAAGGTGGGCCCAGGGCTGCTGAGGACCGAGTAGGGTTATTGCTGTTCTAACACGCAATGCTGGCTCTTGTCTGGTCTGGCCGTTCCCTGTACTCAGGATCTCCTTTGGCCACCAGGGCAGTGGCCGCAACAGGATCTGGAGACCTGGGTGAAGCTGTGTCGGTCTTGGTTGTGTTTGCACACTCCTGTCCGCAGGCATCGATGTCTGGGCCTGCCCGGCCAGCAGGAGAGGCCAGGGAGGCCACAGTATGAGCTGTTCGGGCGGGGACAGCTGAGGCCTGTTGCACCGCGTACCAGGGTGAAGCCTTCCCCGGTGACAAGTAACTCGGCGGAGGGGGCCCTTAGCTGCTACAGTCTGAAAGCAAGTGGCCCAGGGAAACGCAGTCTCCTTAGAGAATCCTATCTTCAGCTCTCTAATTGCTACGCAGAGAGCTGGGACATACCTCCTGAGATGCTGCAGCCACACGCTGCCCCTGGGCTCTCCCAGCCACACCCAGACGCCTGGAGTGGGTCTCGAGAAATGACCAGGATGGTGAGAACAGTCTGCAAAGTGGCATGTGAGAGGTGGCCCGGAGCAGGGCAGACCCCAGAGGCATAAGGAGAGAAGATTTTTGGCTCACCTGAGGGCAGATCATCAGAACAGGTTTTCTTGGGTGGGTCGGGCCTGGTGTGGGATGGCAAGCCCTGCCCACTCAACCAGTGCAGGCCCTGCAGGGCCGCTGGCTCCCCGCTCTTCCCCAGCCACAGGAGGGCACGCGTGGGTGTCCCCTTCCGAGTGACTTGGCAGAAGACGGGTACCATGTGTGCATGCGTGTGTCTCCGCTGTTCCTCTTTCTGCCAAAGCTTTAGGTAACAGCCCTATCTATCCCTCTCCTGCCTCTCGGCTCTTAACAGTTGACAGTGAACTTTCGGCCGCTGGGCCTTTACAGGCATCACCATTCGGAGCCTCAACTCCTTCTGTACAAAATAGGGCGATGACCTCACCGAGTGAGTATTCAGCACACTATCGATGGAATGCAAGATGATTTTAGTTTATCAAAATACACGAGGTTCTGCTGGCTAGGATAGAGTGCAGTAGCAATTCTCCCCAAATGTCTCATTTCAACAAAGGTTTATTTGCTTGTGATATCACGAATATTTTCATTTTAATAGTTTTAGATGTGTATTAGAAAACCCTAACTGTGGATTTAAAGTAGTGATGTAGTCATGTCGTCTTAGATCAGCGAAGTTAAATGTCCCGGGTAGGGTCCTGGGATGGAAAAAGGATTATTGGGTAAAAACTGTGGACTTTAGCTACTAACAGCAGGGCAGTATTGGTTGATTGTGACACATGTACCACCCTAGTGTAAGATGCTATAAGAGGGAGACACGGGGTGGGGAGGGGGGATACGGGCATGCTGTGCTACCTATCTGCTTACTGTGCTATAATCCAACACTCTTCTATGAAGTCTTAATTTAAAGGAAAATAGTAAGTAGTCACCTCCTCAGGTGGCCTGCAGATATGACAAAATGAAGGTGCTGAGTGAAGCTGGGATAAACATGTTCATGACCTCAAAGCTGTTTGCAGACCGTCCAGTCCTGTGTGCCAGGTACGGTTACTGCTGCTCTCCACACAGCCCACGGGGTGGGGAGGGCCACGGTGTAACCCCTGACACACGGGAACCCAGACCCTGGAGCGTGGAATCCTGGGAATGAGCTGCATGGACAAGACAGTGGGGGGCATCTGCCTCCTTCAGAGGGAGCAGCAGCGCCTCAGGAAGGCAAAGCAGGGAACTGCATCCAGACCCCCCCAGGAACCTAGCATGTACCCAGACCAAGGAAAGTCCCCTGAAAGGGCTTCTTTTAAAATATAGAGCTTTATTTTGGTTGCAGAGATTTTCATAAGCATTTGGTTCACAGAAAAGTCGTTACAAAATAGTAAAGGCAGCATTTTGTACAGCGACTTACATTGGGGCCACCAGAGAAGTGCAAAGGGCAGTGCTGGGGACAGGAGGGGCCTGTGTCTTGTGCCCAGAGTCTTCAGGGAGAAGCCAGCTACTACCATCTCTAGCTATCCCTCCAGCCCACCCAGGTGAGCAGCACCGAGGGCCTGGGGAACCAGCCTGGGAAGCGATGGGCAGGGTGCACCAAAGCACCCCCGACAGGCTGGCGAAGGCCCCGCAGGAAAGGCAGAGTGGGAGGGGGTTGTCCAGGCTGAGCCCATCAGTGCTGCATTCAGTCCCTGTCCTCGAGCAGGTGGGATCTGAGCCCACTTGGCTCTGGGACCTTGACACGTTCACAGTACAGTTCAGTAAAGCCCTTGGGAGGCCCTTCCGCCCCTCCTTCAGGCTACTGACCCCACCCTAACCCTAGGCTGCCAACGGGGAACTGACTATGAGGCCGGGTCCTGCCCTCAGGGAGCTCACAGGCAGGGACCCAGAAAACTCCAATGCAAGGCAGAAAGGGCTCCGTACCTGAGAGGGGGCAGAGAAAGGGCGGTGGAGCCTCAGAGCGGGAAGGCGTGTCATTGCAGGGAGGGGAGCTCTGCGGAGAAGGCAGTGTCTCAGCTAAACCCCCAAGACGAGGTGGGGCGCGGACAGGTGCGGATGGCGAGAAGGGCATGCCAAGAAGGGGACAGAGCATGGGCCAAGGCACAGAGTGGGGAACCGTGGTAGGGTCAGTAACGGCAGGCAGTTATCTGTGGGAGAACATGGACACAGACCAGGGGCCCTGGGCACCTCTGTCTCCACCAGGCTGGTGCCCAGGAAGGGTGGCTGATGTGGGAGCGCGGGGCCCCGAGCCAGCATCCTCCTGAGTTTGGGAGCTCCCTGAGGGCGGAGGGGGTCTCGTGCATCGCTGCCCCACCCAGCCTGGCACCTGGGCCGCTCAAAGGGGGCGTTCTCCACACGGCCTTCCTCTTTTCAGCAAGTCCCTTGTCACTCCAGGGGCAGCCTTTCCAGAGGGCCCCTGTCCCCCTCACAGTTCATGCTCAAGTTGAAGGGAACCAAAGTCCGCTCCTCCAGCCTTTGCAGGTAGCCAGGAGCATGTGGCCATGTGCCTGCAGGGATCGAGAGAGGTCCAGGAGAGGGAAATTCTAGGGCAGCTATCTCTTTCCACCTCACAGAATCACCTCCTCCCTCAGGAGTCAATCTGCTCTTCCCTGACAAGAGTCTGGGTTTGGTGTGTGAAAAACAACACTTCTCTGTCATTCAAACAGAAAGACCTGACCAAAGCTTCAGTAGCATTTTCCCGAACTCTTCATCACCTCTATAAGGGCTTGAGTGACAGGAAACCCACCAATCTGTTTCTTTTCTTAGTCCCCAGGAAGCCTGTTTTCTCCGGGGTGCGGTGAGCAGGAGGACCGAGAGGGGCCCAGAGCGCCTCAGCTGCCGCTGCTTCCATCCCGACGCTGCACTGACCTTCTGGCTCGGCAGAACGGCCGGCAGAGCCCGAGCCTGAGGTCGGTTATGGGGCTGCTGCTCCTGGAGTCTTCGCCCCGCCCCCCAGCCGCCCCATGCCGGGCTCCCCATCCTTACAGAATGGTGCAGAAGACGCTGCGATTGCTGTGGTAACCACCTTCCACGCGGGCGGTGATCCTGGTCGCCATGGCCGTCACCTTCTGCCCACTGTGGGCTGCAGACGGGCCTCGGAGAGAACTTTCAAGGTGAGGCCGTGCTGGTGGGTTCACCAGGCGCCACGTATCAGACCTAAAGGTGCAAAACGACAGTCCCTGAACTCAGAGTCTGGAGCATTTGCTGAGTGCCCCACACCATCTCACCTTAGGTTCCAGATCACTGGATCCAGGTGCTTATATCTGGGTATTGGTTCTGCCTCCAAGTCAGTGAGGTGGGACGTGTGGGAAGCTAAGGGGCAAAACCCCTGCATTCTAGTTCCAGCTCTGCCTTCAACTCCGCATGTAACCTTGGATAAGTAAGCCTTAAATTCCCCATCTCTGTAAGGATCTGGAGAAGGCCAGTGAGTTTTTCTCTTTCATTTCCCTCCTAGGTCTATGACCTGCATGTGTACGGAAGCTTTAGTCGTAATCACCTAAAACTAGAAACTACATACCCTTCAGCCGACAAATGGATAAACAGTGTGGTACATCTGTACAACAGAACGCCACTTGGCAACAAAAAGAAGGAATGACATGAGACACCGTGGACAAATCTCAGGTGCATTAGGCTAAGTGAGAGCAGCCAGGCTCCAAAGACTGTACGATTGCCTTAAATGACATCCTGGAAACTGCAAATCTATAGGGGACAGAAAATGGTAGGTTTTCAGTCCATCAGGCTCTTAGCGAGATTTTGAAGGGCCAGGGCTGTCATTTGAGTTACAAAGAACCGCCTCTTACCCCAAATCCTAAGTTGCTTATGCCAGTAACAATATCTTCTGTGCATTTTTATGATGATTCTGTAAGGAGTAGGACTGTAAAGGCATGGATAGTGAGGGGCTGGCTACTGTGGGGTGAGTGAGAAGCACAAAGGTATGTTCAAAGAATTGCCAGCATTTGAGTTTGGCAGCAGACAGCAAGCTTGGGCAGGAAAATTAGGACCCAACACTGCACGATATGTAATGTCAGGCTGCCAGGTCTATGCTCTCTGGATCCTGGGGTCTCCAAAGGAACAGGAAGAAGCAGTCCCCAGGGGGTCCACAATACGATCTGCTGGCATGTGGGTAGAAAAGATTAGAATTCCTATTTTTTATGAGTTATGACGGTATAAAACATATATGAGGTTTCCTTAATTTTTTTTTTTTACTGAGTGTATATATAATCAAAAAAGGAATGGACATCACTACTATAGAGAAAGACGATCCATCAAAGGTTTCCGACCAGGGCTGTGACGTGACCAGAGCTGATCCAGACAGATGAATCTAGCCGTGCAGCCAGACCAGGCCAGGGTGCCGCTGCCGTGGGACAGGGCTACAACCAGTGCAGGGGGGAGGCAGCGGTTACCACCTGTGTAACCAGTGCAGCAAAGCACCAACCACACAGAACAGAGGCCGTGCGTTCACCGGTGGAACAGCACCCTGGCAACAGGGGTCACAGGTCAGGGTGAGGGGTGTTGAGATGTGAGCAGGGGCGATGGCAGTTGGGAAGAGGACGTGCCAGATACAGGAACATTTCAGAAGCAGAATCCAGAGGACCTAGTAATGACTGACTGAACACTGATGTTAGGGAGAAATTGGTCACAGGGGTTTTGCTGCCAGAATAGAGTGGATGGTGAGGTCACTGAAATGGGGGGCAGGGACGGACTGGGAGGTTCGGGGAAGATGAGTGTGAAGCAGTTGTACACGGAGGCAGAGGTATTAAAAACAAGTGACAGCAGCAGCAATAGACAGTTCTGTAAAACCTCAGATCTGGTGCTAGGTCACATGAGCTTAGTGCATCTTAAATTGGTGCTACAAAGCAGACATTGTGAACTGGATTTTACTAAGACTCAAGGTGATGCCAAAGGAACTGGTAGAGCAGAGATATGAAACCACATACCCCTGACTCTTAAAGCCTGTTCTCTCCCAAGGAGGCAGGCGCAGGTCCTCAGCACCAGCCCGACTCCAAATCCAAGCACAGGCCTTTATCTGACCAGAGCCAGAAGTTGGCGGGGCCGCAGGGAGCAAGGGCAGCCAGTATCACCGGGCCTGGCTTCTCTAGTCACCTCGCTGTGGTTCTAGAAGGTTGGTTTAGGCAGACCCAAGACACTTACTTTTTCTTGAACACCAGGAACTTGTTGTTTTGCATGATACATTCTCGGTTGTTTGAGATCTGCTGAAAGATCGTCTTGCTGGCCTTGCCCTGGAAGATGATGTTCTCCTGTACCAGGGCCTTGGCGCGGCCCCGCACTGCAATGCCGTAGGCCCGGAATGAATGGATCCGGTTCTTTATCACCTGGGAGAGACAGCCAGAGCTCGTCACACTCCGGGGGCTCCCAGACTGGTTGCGGAGCCAGGTAAGCGAAATACCAGTTAAAAACCTGAGGGGTAAGACGTTGCTAAGGTAGGTCAGCATTGAGCCATGGGAGCTCAGGGAAGGGATATCGAGATCAGGTGGGAGAACCAGGGAAGGCTTCCCGAAGGAGGTGATGGGTAAGTGGTAGGAGTTTATCAGGTGCAGGCCAGGGGACAGCTGTTCCAGGAAGAAGGAATAATGTGCAAAGGCTGGCAGAGAGGGGAGGCTGTACCCGAGGCAAGGACCATTGGCAACTCGACTGAGGCAGCAGCGTGTTCTCACTCCCGTCCTCTGTTTCCACAGTGCTCAGCTGCAGAGCCAAGGAGAGGCTGTGGGAGAGGCAGTGGCATGGTACTTTCACAAGTGTGGGGCCTGGGTCGGCTTGGCTCAACACTGAAACCCTGGTACCCAATGCAGTGCTTTGCATAAAAAGGAAGCTCCGGGGAGACAGAGGGGCAGCAGAGCAGATGGGAAGTGCTCTGTGAGGTGTGGGTGGACAACAGCACCTCCAATGTCCGAACAAGGGGTACCCCAGACAGCCTGGGGAGAGGGGGGTTGTCAGGGAAGGCTTCCTACAGAAAGTGACAGCCCAGCTGCGAGGCTGAGGCAGACAAGGGGAGAGGCTGTTGCAGGTATGCAGGAAGAGTGTGCACACAGGCCCTCCTTGTGAAGCACCCAGTGCATACTAGATCCTGGGGGAGACTGTTCTGTTAGGGGAGGGCTGAAAATAGCCCTGAGCTTGACCTGGAGACCACAAAGATACCCCTGGAGGCACCCCACTCCTAGCTCTCTGCTGGTTCTCTCCTGTCCATCCTTCAGGGCTCAGGTCATGTTGCCCCTCCCTCCTGTGTGAAGTCCCACCTGTGTGTCCCAGGCTAGGTTTGCAGGGGGGAATGATGTCCCTTGCAGTGCCAGGTGCTTTGGGCTTCTTGGTAGAGAGGGAGCAAGGGCTGTCCTAGGGCTGAGCCCTGTGCTGGCACATGCATCGTACACACGCACACACACACACCTTTGTGTCGGACCTGGGCAGTAGCTGCAGCCCGCTGCCCCGGTTGCCAATGATGTCATTTTCGATGACCACGGTGCTGTCGCCCTTGGTGATGATGCCATGGCCTCTGTTGTCATAGATACCGTTGCCCCGGAGCTCCACCTTGCACTGGGCCTCGACCTTGACCCCACTCTGGCGGTTGCAGGAGATGCTGTTGTTGGCCACACGGGTGAGCTGGCTGCTCTGGGCCACGGTGATGCCTCTGTCCCCGTTAGCGTGGATCACGTTGGTGAGGACATGCAGCGCCTCACTGCTCTGGACGTAGAGTCCTGAGGCTGTGGGTGGAAGGGTTGGGGAGTGGGGTCAGTCCTGACAACAGCAGTCAGGAGAAACCCTGGGGGAACTGTGCACCCCAGGAGAGAGGTGGGGAAGAGGCTGCAATACTAGGAACAGCCCTTGGGAGTCACATCCTTCAAGATGGAGGATAAACCACGTGGGAAGAAACCCGGGAGCATCAGGGAAACTCTGTTCCTTCTGAACTAAGTCCTCAGCAGACAGGGAAAGGTGATGCAAGGCTCCTCGGCTCAGCTGCCCACGTGGCCCTCCCATGCTGCCTGTTCCTACAATACTGTCACCTGGGACGGGGCGCTCACTCCCTGCGTAAGGCTGCCCGTTCCGCCTCCAGTCAGGTCTACCCGCTGGACAGCTGTTCTGTGTTTCTCTGCCTGTACTGAGCTGGCATCTGCCTCCCTATTGTTTTGGGAAATTTTTTTCACAAGGGAAATTCTGTAATTTTTGAATAGAAAAATTAAGTATATATGATGTTAGAAACTTGAGAAAGAAAATGGTGTTTGGGGGTTGTACATGCTTAGAGACACTACATGCTTATAGGAAAACCCCCCACAAAATCAGGCTTAGAGCTGCATGACTTGGTCAAGAAGAGAGAGCACGGCAGAGGGACCTGGTGGGGGGGGGAAAGGAGGCCTCCCAGTGGTGACATGCACCCACCATAAGAGCAAGAGTCATCGGGAGGAGGTTGTGGGGAGGATGACAATGGGGGTCATGTGGGAGCACTTGAGTCTGCAAGTTCCAGCCTCTCGGGGCCACCTGCCTGTTGTTTCCCCTGGCCTGGTGGAGAAGGTGAATATAAACCAAGTATCTGTGAATTTATGTGCCTCTGCCTATCCTCCTGGACAGCATGGCCACATGGAGAAAGCCCTGAACTAGGAGGGTACAGAACTCATCTTCTGTGGGCTCCCACTCTGCTGTCCCCAGGACAAGAGCCTGCTGGTGCCCAGGAGCCTCCTTTTAACAAGACTTCCTCCATCAGCCCTCTACAGGGGCTCTGATCATCCACCAGGTTTGGGTGCCCCGGAGTTAGAGCAACTCTGTAAGTTGTTTTTTTCCAATTCAATAAATACTGAAAATCTATCTGCTTTTCTCAAGTTTAAGACAACCTGTGGATTTCAAACACACTCTAATTCTCTGTACAAGAAAAAAATGCCAATTAAACCACCATGTGCCATCAATTGCAAATGCACATCATCAGATGTGAAAATGTGGAAAATGTGTCTCAGATTAGAAATGTGTATGTTGGGTGTGGGATCTGCAGGGACACCGACAGACTGGGATTCAGCTCCCTGCCTCAAGTTCATAGCCTGTCAGAGCTGACAAAATAGCCACAGAAACATACCCAGTCCCAGGTGCCTAGGAAGTGCCAGTGGGGTGAGAGGGTAAGGGCGCAGGGTGCATTTATAGTGGGCTTTGAACTTCAAGTTGTTTGGGATGTGTGGACGGGGGAAAAGGAATTTCAGGGAAAAGAAACAGCATGGGCAAGGTGAGGTTGGGGGCAGGAAAGATGATGTTCAGGGAAGGTGGTGTCCAGAGGTCCGGGGTACTGGGTAAGTGGCTGAAAACAGTAGCCAACCAAATGAGAAGGGCCCTTAAAACAGTGTGAGGACAGTGTGTGGAGCAGGAGGACACTCACCTCCGTTGTGATTAATACTGTTAGACTCAACAAGAGCTATGGTGACGGGCCGGCGCAGCGGGTCGTCGTCCTTCTCCAGCTCCGTCTCCCAAAGGATGGCGTCCCCGTCCTCGCTGAAGTTCTCCTGGGCCCCGTGTCCTCCAGGGAACTCACCGGAGCCCTCCTTCTGACTGAACACTGCCACCCCGTACAGGCCATTGTAGCTGACGTGGTTGCTGGTGACGTGGGGCAGGCTGGACGACATCATCCACACACCACAGCCCTTGTTAGCTGGGACGGTGAAAGGGGCTGGTCACGGACACTGAGCAGCGGGTGAGCCAGCAACCAGTGTCTCCCCAAGAGGGGAAGCAAAGATGGCACTGGCCCGGGAGACAGAGTCCCTGGCACGCTAAGGGCCTTGGACAAGTCGCTTTATGGCTGGAGGCTTCACCTTCATACAAGAGGGTAACAGTCAGGTCAGTGTCACAACCAGAACCCTTCCATAGCATGTAAAAGTGCTCAGAGAACTGTCAAGGCCACAGTTCCGGAGCACACAGCCCAGAGCAATAGTGCCAAAGGGTCATTAGAATTCACCCAGCCCAACCCCTTCTTGCATAGAGATGGAGGTGGCCTCAGTCTGAATCCCAGCCCTATCACTTCCTAGCTGTGTCACCTTCAGCAGCTTACTAAACCTCTCTGTGTCTCGGTTTCCTTGTCTTTAAAATAGGGTAAATAACCATATCTATCTCAGAAAGCAGCTATGAGAATTAAATGTGATAACGCATATAAAGCACCTAGCAAATAATAATAATAATGATTATTATTATTTTTAGGGATATGGTCCAGAGAGTAAGGCTCTGCTCAGAGTCACAGCATGAGTGAGAACAGCTTCCTTTTTTGTACTATCCTATTTCTCCCATTCTGTTTCCAGTCCTCTAGATCCAAAGAAAGGGGTAAGAGGAGTCAGATGTCCACGTCAGTGCCTAAATGGCTCTATCCTTGCACAACTCCTGCCTTTTGCTATTTTAAATGGGGATGAAGCTCTCTGCTTCACTGATCTTGTGGGTTACAAGGTGATATATGAGAGGCTTTTGTATTCTGAGGGACTGTGTGGCTGTGGCCTGAGATCGACTCTGTTCTGCAGGATGTCTTTGAGGCCTAGGGGAAGACCGTAACTTTCTCAGGACCCACAGCTGGAGATGGAACCTGGGCTTCCTGCCTCTCTGGCTGGGTTGGACCCCAGACCCGTTCCCCCAGGAACATGTGCCTCACCATAGATGGTGTTTCCTTCTATCAGTCCTTTGCCTTCATCTCCCACGACCACACCATCTGAGTAGCCGAAGCAGATGAGGTTGCTTCTGAGGACGGGGACTCCTCCTCGGCGGATGTCTACACCTCCCCACTGATTCTCACGGATGACATTTTCTGTGGAGAGGCAGAAGAGAGGGTCAAGACCCAAGGACCGCCCACACTGGCCATGAGGACTTGGACAGCGGAGAGAAAGGGCCTTCTGGACCAGGACATGAGGCCTTGCCCTGTCACCAGTCAGCATCCTGAATCTTGCTTGGTATTTGGCTTTTCAGGGACTTGAATGCTGTCTGCTTTCCTCAAAGGCAAGGTTTATATCTATCTTGTGCTCTCTCATATTCTCAGTACCCACTGTACCCAGTGGCCTTAAGGACCAATGACTAAGAATAAACTGGCTTTAGAGTCCTTGGACCAAGGCCAGACAGGGCTGCCTGTCCTGGGGGCTGCTTCTAGAAGGGCTGAGAATCCAGCCATTCCCCCACCAGCCTGGGAAGGCACAAGCTGGTCCTTCTCAGCCTCAGCTCTGGAGTGACCACAGCCTTCCTCTCCTCTTCCCTACCGCTCTAGGAGTGGGCCAAAGTCAGAATTCAGGGGAGTTGGTGCTGGGATACTGAGGCCCCCAGTACTATGGCTGGGCAGACTCTCGGTCTCCTGGGACTGGAGTGCAGTGGCCCGGGAGACCCTGTGTGACTAGCCCCTTTGTGCCTCTGTGTCCCCATCTCACCCCATACCCCTCCTTCCCCACACTCAGTCAACCAGGAATCTCCCTGCTCCCCAGGCATGCTGACTGTGTTTCATAGGTGGCCCTGCATGGAATTCTGGTTCTTTTCTCAGGCTGTGTCCTGTCACTCAGGTCTGGCCTTCTTAGAAATGCTTGCCCTGACCACACAATCCTAAATACCCACAGAGTCCCTCTATCACTTAAATTAATTCCAATAAATTATATCATTATATATACATATAACATTTTACATATTATATACTTACATATAAAAATATATATGTAAATATATCAAAGTTAATAATATATAATTATTTCATCTCTAGAGCACTTATCACTCACAGATACGTTTCTTCTGTGTGTGTGTGTGTGTGTGTGTGTGTGTGTGTGTGTGTGTGCTTTTGTCCCCTAAATGTCAGTTGCTGACCGCAGGAACCCAAGGGCTGCTGTATCCCCAGCTCCTGCATACGTCATGTGTTCAATAAACGTCTGATGAATGAAGGCAGCATTCAGTCAGAGGGATTCACTGGACCAACCTCTTTTTATGTCCTAGGTGTGGCTATGCTCTCTGCTGAGGCTACAGGAAGGTGCCACACAGACGTGATCTTCGTCTTAGAGAACATACTGCCTCCTATTAAAGGAGACTGACCTCACACAGATCCCTGAGAAATTAAGGAAGACATCCTACAGAGCATACCTGCTGGGTACAGTGAGTGTTTATGTGTACAGTGAGAGGTCAGGGCAGGCTTCCCTGAGGAAGTGACATTTAGGCCGAAATCCAAGGGCTGAGCAGGCCAGGCAGAGGGGAAATGGGGATGGGTTTCCAGAACAGGTAGAAGCCCATACAAAAGCCAAGAGGAGGGATTCAGTGTGTGGGCCATAAGTGTTTCTGACAATGTTATGTAAGCCAGCCAAGGAGATCCTGTAAGCAGCGGGCCTGGCAAAGAGCAGACGCTCCCTCCCTGTTAGGCTCTCCTTGAGGCTAGCACGGCCAGTGTGCGGGACAGTGAGTGACACACACAGAAGGTGGCCAGGCTGCCGAGGCGAAGGACTGGGCAGTGGGCAAGGTGGGGGAGGTTGGGTCAGCTGCTGGTTGCCTGGTTGGCCACGGCTCTGAGCACTTCCCACCCCTACCTGTGATGAGGCCTTTGCCATTCTCGTTCACTGCTATGCCTGCTGCACGGCCCTTGAAAATGTGGTTCCCGCTAAAATGGAAGGGGAAGAAAAAAAGAGTAGATAAGACCACTGTTACGTGTCAAAGCCAATGCCTGCTCAAGGGGACTACCTTCCTTTGTGGCCTTCCCCAGACTACACAAGCCCACAGGGGCATAAAGCACTTCCTGCAGTCCTAGAAGCCAGGCGTTTATAAATCTTTAGTGACCTTACAGACAACCTGATCCAGAACTAAATCAGTAACTATGCCGTACAAGACAATGATACTCGAGTTTCTGTGGCCTCTCCTGACTGTCGCTTACATGCAAACTTTGAAACTGGTCATCGTGGTGCACTGGTAAAAAGTCAACAACTGGTCAGGAATTCCTAGGAGGCTGTGTGAAGCTTATTTGGGCATGATTTGTTCCCAATGCCTGAATCGGAGTCTCTCCTGTAATGAGCCCACACTCTCCTGTTTGTATCCAACAGCTACCCTTTACCTTATTTTCTGTTAGCTTAATCACTTATTCCCTGAATAACATAAAATAATGACATGCCTTAAAAAAAGAAAACCAGATTTTTAAAAAGGAGGTTTTGAGAAAATCAGGGAATGTGTATGTGAAACCTCGTGGGCTGGCTGAGCTGCATACGGATGACACGGGAAAACGTGCTCCCGCTCAGAGAAACATGTGCAGCCCTCACTGCCCTGGAAAGGCCTTGAGAATGCAGCACCGGACACCTGAGCGGGTTGAAGGACATACATCACTCTCCAGTCTCTGCACCTTGGTTTCCTGCCTGGTAACACAAAGCCAGTCACATGGGGACATTAGCACAATTGGATTATCCCTGGAGGCCACTCATTCGCTGTTTGTTCGTTTTACCAATAGGAATGCTGGTACCTCCTTTCTTCCTGGAAGGGCACTCGCCTCCTCTCTTAGGGGACAACCTCCTACTTCCTACCATGTGGCTGAGGGATTTAGGTCCAAATATTCATCTGGCTCTTTAGAGCCTAACACAGGGCCTGGCATCCCACAGAACATTATGAGTAGGAGTTGGCTAAGTTTTCCTATCTCCTATGGCAGGGTTCAAATGGTTTACATCCTTGGGGGGAAAACCCAGCAAATTATGTTGATGCTGGGGAAGCCAAATGTCAACTGCACCCATGCTGTGCATTTGAGTTGAACAAGTAAAATCATTTGTTAAAGATATCCCAATTTTTGCCCCCAGATAGATCTGAAGAGTCTGTTTTGATCTGGTTATAATTCAGTCGGCAGATGGTTACTGTGGGTTTCTAGAATTCACGGTCAGACACAGGCCCTAGGCTAGGGAGTTCATATTTCTGAGAACTGTGCCAAAGCAACAAATGCATAGCTGGTCTGTTTTTAATACAAATCACCTCTAGAAAAGACCCATGGCCACTTGGAGAAGCAAGTGTGCGTATGTTCACAGGGAGAGCAAAACAAAGATAAAAGAGGTATCAGGGAACACTAAGGAAAAGCGGACAGACAGATCATTGTTCCAAGAACCAATGGTAGGATGTTTACAGCATTTGAGCCAGTTTGAACCCTGTGTTTCCTTGAAGCCAAGGCAAAAAGAGCAACACAAAAGGTTATAAAACTCTCATTGGCAAAAAGACTGCCTTATCCAGGCTACTTCTGGGATCTCAAAATTCATTGTGCCCTCCCCTAGATCTCTACCTTCCATCACAAAGAAACATAAAGGAAAAAAGCACAACCTGGCCTATGGCCTCATCACTCTGCCCTCTGCTTCTATTGTCACATTTCCTCCTCCCAAATGATTCTCTGGCTTCCCTCGAAGGGTCTTTATGATTTACGTAAGGGGCCTACCTGGATAATCCACGATGGTCTGCCCACTTGAAGGTTCTTAATTTAATCATCTCTGCAACATCTCTTTTGCCATGAAAGAACATACGTGCAGGTTCCAAGGATTAGGAAGTGGATGCATCTGGAGAGCCATTATTCTGCAGATCATCCTCGGTATTGGAGGTTCTGTGTTCCAGCATCAACCTGCCTTCGTAGGCCGATCCTCTACTCAACCTTCTGGGAGGCTCGTGGCAGACACACCACACTTATTACCATTTTTCCAAGACACATCCCAAATTTCACTGTCCCTAAGTCCAGAATGCCATCAACCCGGCCACAAAATCCTACCTATCCTTTACACACAACTTGTGTCCTCCCCTGACTCGCTCAGCTGAAACTGTGGCTGGCTCCTCTGTCACTCTGTCACTTAAACAAAGACCTAGTGAAGCACTATTTGTGTGTCCATCTCCAGCATGAGACTGTAAATGCCACGGAGCAGAGACTGTTCTTACATACTTTTTATATCACTGTTCCCTTGCACAAAGAGTAAATACTTAAAAGTGTGTTAAATGAATAGCAAGCACATGTATAAACACATAACTCTTAAGGTAATAATGCAAAGATGGAGAAAGAACTCTGTGACCACTAATGGTTTTCAGTAAGCTGTCTGTAACAGTCAAAAACAGATGCCTAACGGTAATCGGACTGGTTCAAAAGTTAGGGAATATCAAAACAATGGAATGATCTGAAGCTTTCCAAAACTGATAAAGGCCATGCAACCACATGGAAAAGCACATTTAGAATAACCTAGGGGAAAAAACACTTCAGAATAATTTGCTGCACATTTGTTCCAGTTATTTTCCTAAAGCAGGACATAAGTGTGTGAGTCTTCTGTTTAAAAACTTTTAATGATTCCCCATTATCTAGAGAGAATAAATGACCTTCCTCAGCTGGGTCCACAGAAGGCTTCCTCCTCTGGCCCTGAGCTCTCTTCCCACCACCCTTCCACTGTGCTGTGCGGCAGAGATGGAAGGCTCCAGGGATATGGATCATGCTGCGGCGGCCACAGGACCCACGACTTTCTGGGACAGTCCCAATTTAAAATTTTTATACCAACGTCACAATTTGTGTCAGATGGATTCTCAAGCCACAGGAGACTGCTAGCCAACCCCTGAATCTGCCATGCTCTGCTGCCGTTGCTCATGTTGTTTCCTTTACTAGGAATGCCCACTCCCATCTCGGTGACAGCCCACATTCTACCCATAGTTCCAAGTACACCTCTAATGCCCCTTTGTATCGAGGCCTTCCCACATGCCCCCAGTAGCATGGGTGCCTCCCTCGGGAGCGCTTCAGCAGTGTTTATCAGTCTGCTCCTTGGAAAGCTGGGATGGGCGCTCCATGCTCCCAGCAACGCCGCTGCCCCTACTCACCTACAGCTCGCACACTGGTCCGTCACGGGACGCTGTGTGCGGAGGCAGATCCCGCCCTGGGACTTTAACGCAGCCTCTCAGGCACCCACTCGCAACCGAACAGAGTTGTCAGGTGAGTGGAAATCTTTATGCCATGTCTATCTTAGAGTTAGGTCTGGTCACACGTGTGACCACACCTCCAGGCTAGAGTGAGCTCTGGGGGAGCAGGGTGCTCCTCTGTTATCATTGCTAGAGGTGCTCAGCCACGTCTGCTGAGTAGAACTGGTAGAGGATGCGAACGAAAGCGCCTGTGTTACCTCAGTGAGATCAGGGTGGGGTCTCGGCTCTGCTTGCTTCGCTTTCTACACTGTTGTTTCAGTAAACAAAAACGTTTTCAGATGGAGGGAAGCCGCAGTGTAGGAAGCAGAGATCAGAGAGGAAAGAAGGGACGATGGCTGAGGGTGGTCTAGGGACAGCACACATACCTCACGACTGGATTTCCGTGGTACAGGATATAAATGCCAGCCTCCTTATTTGAAAAGATTTGGTTGTTGCGGATGACACCTTTCCCATTGCCAAGGACGACAATGCCAGAACGAAGGCCGTGGTGGATCTGGTTACACTGCAAGGGGACAGGAGACACCACAGAAGGTGGATCAGAACTGCCGGTAAGAAGCCGAGTGCTCAACTGCCGGCCCACAGCAGGGCCCGGGGGGGCACAGTGGAGAAGGCGCCGCTGCAGCGCCCTGCCTGACACACCACAAAGCGAGCGGGCCACGCTGCTGCTGGTGGCACACCTGCAGAGCTGTAAGTGAGAACCCACAGACAGGAGTCCTCGCCGCCCCGCCTCTGGCTCTGCACCCGCAAGGCATGCCACTGAGCACGGCTGAGCCTCCAGAGTCCTCCAGCGCACGGCCCAGGGTCCAGGGAGCTCAGATCTCATGGAAGGGCAGCACCCCACTACGTGACAATGCTGGCCACGTGCAGTCCCAACGGGCCACCTCCAGGGACGAGTGAGAGCCATTGGGCTCCCACTCCTCACTTCCCATTGAGGGAAGGCCTGTGGGAAGGTGCGGCTCTGGTGGGCCTGACTGTTCCACGGGGCCTGAGATCACAGAAGCTGTACGTGCTACAAACAAACACCCTTTTTTCTTACGCACGGGGACGCTAGCCCAGGGCCACACAGTATGTGGCAGTGCCAGATCTGAAACCTAGCTCTCCTGCTTCCCAGCGAGCTGCTTTTACACAGTGACATTTTCAGATCATAACAAATGATGATAAAATTGTTTCACTCTGTTAAGTTAGAGCCTATATACATTCCTATACTTGAACCAGGAAGTTTGCGGATTCTCTTCCAAAACGATTTCACAGAAGCAAAGTTCTAGTTTGCTTTAAAACGTTCCACGCCGTAAGCAGTCCTATTCTTACTCACTTCCCAGATTTTCTCCTGAAGGATCTGGCAGACCCACCAGGGCAACCATCGCCTAACGCAAGTCCTTCACACGGCTGTGAAAAGCGCAAAGCTCAGAGAGAGAAGCGTAAGCAGTGGCATTTCCATCCCCACACCCTTTCATGAAGCCAGGACAGAAACATAACGCCCTCTGTCCCTCCACCTGCTACGCTGGCCTGTCCCCTCTGTCCCTGGGAAGGCAAACTCCTTTCATCTCTCTGGCAACAGTAGCATTAATTTCTTTCCTCAGGCAAGGCCGTGCCTCAGACGCCAGCTGCAAGGCAGAAACACAGTGAGAGGAAGGCGTTGAAAGAGGACACTGGCTAGGCAAGTCTCTCGAAAAGGCGAAAGATTTATACGATCTGAAGAGAAACTAGAGTATAGGCATGTCTCTTTAAATAGGAGTTAGGAACTTTCCCTCCTCTGCATTGGCAAGGGTGGTCTTATTAAACATTTTTTTAAATGTTTATTTATTTTTCAGAGAGAGAGAGTGAGAGAGAGAGCGCGCGTGCATGGGGTGGGGGTAGAGACGGGGACAGAGGATCCGAAGCAGGCTCTGTGCTGATAGTAGTGAGCCCAGTGTGGGTTTCGAACTCACGAACTGTGAGATTGTGACCTGAGCCAAAGTCGGGACCCTCAACCGACTCAGCTGCCCAGGCGTCCCAAGGGCAGTCTAATATAATGGGTTAAGAACATCGACCCAGAGTCAGGACTGCCTGGATTCAAGTTCCAGCTCTGTCACTAATTGTATGATTTGGGGCAACATCCTTAGTGTCTCTTTGTGCCTCAATGTCATCATCCATAAAATGGAATAATAATAATTCTATCACACAGGGTTGTGTAAAGATTAAACCACAGGTAAATATATACAAAGTGATAAGCACTATGATAAGGGCAGATATTATTTTTTCAAGGCCATAAGAAGTCTGGGACATTCCCTAGTTCCTGGGATATGTGTCTCTCAGGGAAGGCCTGAGCAGAACAAGGGGCTGGGCTCTTGTGTCACTGGTCCTATCTTCTGCCATTTCAAGTGGCTTTCACGTTGCTGTAAAATCAAATTCACGTGGTTTCACAATATTCGTGAGACAAATAATCTTCAGAACTAAATATCCTCGGGGCACCTGAGTGGCTCAGTCGGTTAAGTGCTGGACTTTGGCTCAGGTCATGACCTCACAGTTTTTGGGTTCTAGCCCCACAGTCAGGCTCTGTGCTGACAGCTCAGAGCCTGCAGCCTGCTTTGGATTCTGTATCTCCCTCTTTCTCTGCCCCTCCCCTGCTCACACTCTGTCTCTCTCAAAAATAAACAAACATATATATATAAAAAAAAAAGAACTAAATATTCTAAATGCCCTGTTTATAGTGAAGAATGATCTACCGTGGAGTTTTAGTTTTGAGCCAGGTGTCTTGTAGGGCATATAGCATATCTTTATTCTTATCAAACTCAAAGCAAACCAGAGCCTATCAGGGCTGAGGAAGTACTCCATAACATTTCCTATCCAGTCCTCTTTTTTCCTAACAAGGAGACTGCAGGGAGGTGACTTATTCAAAGCCATTCCAATTATGTGAAGAAAGAGACACAGAGTCACAAGGACACACAGAGAAAAGGGCAAAAACCACTTGCAAACAGGAAGCAATATAAATTCAAGATAGCAACATTTACTTAAATAATCTCAGAAAAGGCTTTAGAACCGAGAGCCACTCTGAAAAGAGCATGAAGACAGAGAAAAGTACCAACCAGTATGAGTGGGTTGGACTTTTTCCGGATGTCCACGCCCGCCTCCGCATTGTGGTAAATGTTGTTGCCTGCGATCAAGCCTCCGCCCTCCAAGCGAAGGAAGATGCCTGACGCTCTGCAGCGGTGAATGTCATTCCTGAGCATGACAATCTAGGCAGAAAGGAGAAAGCCATTTGTTTTCTTGTCCCAGGTTTTTAAAAAGAAAAACCCTTTTAAAAAACCCACCTGAGTCCTTCCCTTACCATCTGCTCCCCACTGCTGTGCCAGCAGCAGGCAAGGATGGCCTCTTCCCACCTGGTGTGCTCCTGGGTGCTGAGCTCTGTGCCCCACCTGGCCCTGCCCTGAAGCCTCCTTACCCAACCACAGTGGCTCGTTAATAAAACCTGGACCAAAGCTCGGCCCCGTGTCCCATGGTCACAACTTGTGAACAGAACGACTGGCTGACTAGATGGAAAGGACCCACAGAGAAGCTGGGATTTAGTGGTCTTCACACTGCACGCACTGGGGTTACCCAGAGGTCTCTCCAGGTTCCCAGGGCACAGCTAACAATGAATGGAACCAAGGTCCACATGCGTCTTTGCTAAAATTCACCTGCCTGAGGGGTGCCTGGGTGGTTCCGTTAAGCATCTGACTCTTGATTTCAGCTCAGGTAATGATCTTACGGTTCATGAGATCGAGCCCTGTGTCTGGCTCTGCACTGACAGCCCAGAGCCTGTTGGGATTCTCTCTCTCCCTCTCTCTCTGCCCCTCCCCTGCTCATGCTCATTCTCTCTCAAAATAAAGTTTAATAAAATAAAATAAAATTTCACCTGCTTGATAAAGCACCTGAGGATAACCCCTCCACCTTCCCTTTCACTTTGTAAGACAAAGGCCTATTCTCGTCCATTCTGAATCTTTCTTGGGTGTATTATCCTGCGGTGCTCCTTAGTTTGGAGTTTTAAGGGAACAATTAGAAGTACTGGTACAGGGGCGCCTGGGTGGCTCAGTTGGTTAAGCATCCGACTTCGGCTTAGGTCATGATCTCATGGTTCGTGGGTTCAAGCCCTGCATCGGGCTCTGTGCTGACAGCTAGCTTAGAGCCTGGAGCCTGCTTCGGATTCTGTATCTCCCTCTCTCTCTGACCCTCCCCTGCTCATGCTGTCTCTCTCTCTCAGAAATAAAACATTAAAAATTTTTTTAAAAAGTACTGGCACAAGGAAGCTTTTAAACAAGGTACTACAACCTAGCACCAAGCTTATTTAAGGGGATGACTGCCATTTACATTTTCTTTTCATACTTAATAGGTATATTAAAGATTCAGAATATATTTGTATTGTTCTAAGCAATTATGTATTAATAGTAAAAACATATTACATCGGGGTAAACTGTGCGCTACTAGTAAACAACAGATTACATTAAAATAGCAGTCCAGAAGAATAAGGTAGAAGGGAAGTGTCTGTTTAGGATGGAGAGCGCTGGCCAGAGAAGTCACTGATCCCACACAAGAACAGAATCAGATACAGCACAAAAACACAGCCTTTCTTGAACCATCGGAGAACTGAGACTGCACGGTGGCCAACAAGCCTGAAACCCAAGGAAAGCAGGCACCTCCTAGGAGACGAGAGGGGAGCACCTGCCTGCCCCACTGCACATGGTGCCACATGAACCGGTAAGAATTCAGCTACAGGGTTCAGCGCGTTGTTGAAGGCCAAGTGTGAACCAGTGCGAGAGTACAGGAGCCCTGGGAGTAGATATGTCTACTTCTCTGGGGACCTCGTGAAGTGCTCAGGGGGAAAGAATGGGGATAGGACAAGAGACTGGGGACAAACAGCCTCCCGCAGGGCAGAGGTGTAGGGCACAAGGAGAGCAGCCATTCAATGTAAGGAAAGCACTAAGCCCCTCTTTGAGTCTTCTCCCTAACTTCCCTGTAGAACAAGCCTTCAGCAGTGGGGGAGGAGGGCGGTAGACCCCGTCGTGGAAGGGAAAGAGAAAACCCCATCTCGGGCCCAGATATTTAGAGCCCCCCTAATGCTGGGGGTGAGGCAGGACCACTGGAAAGGGCCTACTTTCAAGACCCATGGACACAGCAGCTGCCTAAGACTAAGGACAAACTGGGACACACCAGCCCAGAGCCACAAGTGACTGCAATCTGCTGGGAGGGGTGAGGCCATGGAGACAGCCACTCTCTAAGGAGCAAAGAGAAGACCCTAAAAGCACAGGAAAAGGCCAGCACACGGTAAAGAAGAACATGAAGAATGCTGAGGGTAGTCATAACAACAAAACCAGAACCAGCTTAATCCTGACTAGGCTGACCCAAAACCTGGCCCTCTAAAGGCCTAGCATGAGAAGAGGTATGCCCATTTCCACACATAAATGTGATTTACCTCAGTCTCTGCTTTCCCAGATATTTGACTTTCAACTACAAATGATAAGGTACACAGAACAGCAAGAAAAACATCACAGTTTTCGTTGTGGGGCCCCAAGCAACTGGGCTTTCTGCCAGCCTTACTCTCCTGGACGTGTTCTAGAAGGCAGGGGAGGGTGGCTGCCCTCTGGCCACTGGATCAAGGCTTTGCTTCTGGGCATGGGACCAGCTCAGCGGGCCCTGTGCTCCCGCCCACAGCTCCCTGCTTGTATGAACGCCACTTAGCATATAATTGTACCTGATGCTGGGTACTCGTGAGAAACCAAGGATTTTTTTTTTCTTTTTTTTTTTTAGTAAAAAATCCTGAATATCAGCTTCTCAAGTTCCTTGCTGGAGACTCACTAGGAATTACAGGCTGCACACTTCCTGCCCAAAGCCTCTGGAAGCAACAGTTCAAAAGGGCTACTGCAAGTAAGGCTGTGTAACTTTCCATTTTTCCTTTTCCATGACTCCCAGCTACCACCTGCTCCCAAGTCCGCGAGGCAGGCCACCTCTCTCTCCAAAGCTCCAGACCCAGGTAACCAGACAACACCTCTGCCAGACGTCAGAAGTGCTCCATGTTCAGCATGCCCAGAACTGAACTCAGCATCTCTCTGCACGTCCTAACCTCCCACGTTCCTGCTGTTTCTCAGCCACTCAGGCCCGAAATCTAGGCCTCATGGCTTCGACTACTCCCTCCGAAAGCCCTCCTTCCCACCTCTCCAGACTGCCCCGTCCCCTCCTGTCCGTCTCTGGATCACAATTCTCCACTGGCCCTCATTGATCTTGCCTCCGGCCTTGTTCCTCTCCATTCAATTCTCCAGAAAGCAGACAGCATGAGCTCTCCACATACAGATCTGACCACAGTTTTCTGCTTAAAATCTGTCAGCAAGCTCCCACTGCCTTCAGGGCAAACTCCCATCTCTGCGGCAAGCCCTCTGTGTCTCAGCTAGCTGACTCCCTCCCTTGTCTCAGAGCCTCCCCTCAAGCTCTGGCCGTCTGACTTACTTGCAACTCCCTGAACATGTGGTGTCCTTTCTTACATCTGGGCCTTCATCCCCCCACCCCCCCAATGTCTCATAGCCTCCCACTGACAACTCCTCCTCCTGGGAAGCTCAGCCCGGGCACTGCTTCTCCAAGGGACCTTCCCTGAGGCTGGGCTCCTATGCCACCCATGGCGCCTCCATCATGGCACCTCTCACACCGGACTTTTAAAAGCATTTGTTGAGCACTTGCTATGTGCCAGACAGGACCTTAGCTCATCCTTACCACACCTTGGAGACAGAAAGTATCATTGGTCCAAATGACGCAGAGCTAGTAAGGGGCAGAGCCAGAATTTGACTCATAAGCCAAAGTCCTAATAAGTATACAAGGTGTTGGGTGGGGTGGGGGTGGGGGAGACCCTCCTGGAGGGCTCGGACCAGATCCTATCACCACGGTACCTGAGAGCAAAACTACGACCCATCCTTTTTACCTGACCATGATCTTTCATTCTCTGTAGGCTGAAACTGTGCTTTCCTGGTAACACCATCTAAAATCCTTTTTGGAAGTGGGCTGGGCAAAATGCAACTAAATGCGATTGCTGCTAACCACTCCAGAAGCCTGCAGCGATCTGCAAGACTCCCAAGTGACACGTGAGCAGCGCCCCTCAGCCTACGAGGTACCTTGGCAATATTACGGTACCAGAGCCTCACAAACCCCCATGACAGACGCAAGTCAGGGAAGCTTATTTCCATTTTACAAGAGAGAACGGTAACGCTCATGGTGAACCAGTGGAGAGGAAAGACTCAGACCCAGGAGCCAGCCATGCTTTCTTCCAAAAGGCTGTATCTTTCCTCTGAGAGGCCGTTCCTGTGCTCGGTGGTTTGCGGGGGCTGTGGACTGTCCCGCGGCGCCCTGAGGGGCCTGCAAGGTGGTGATCGCATTAGTGGCAGGATGGATTCCTCTTGGCATAAAGTCCAGATATCTCGTAGGGGCTTTTCAGGCCCTGGGCAAGGTGGCTTCTGCTTGCCTCCCCTGCCTCATTTGTAAGCACTCTTCCCTCCCCAGCACACCGCTGAATTCAGCCCCACACCCAGGCCCCAGTGCAGAACGTTCTGGCTGCCTAGAATGCCCTCACTCTGTGCCCCCTTCTTACCACATGCACACTCTTTTCCTTGGCTGTCCTCTCTACTCATCCTACAGCTTCGACACTTCTTCTGGGGAGCCTTCTCTGGTTTAGATCAAAGCCAGTCATCACATGCCTCTCAGTTTTCTCTCATCCAGGCTAAAGAGCCCTTGTTCCTTCTCCTAGGACTTAGGGGACATGGTTGAGAAGTAGCATGACATACCAAAAGGAGTTGGAAGACCTAAGTTCTAGTCTCAGTTCTGCCACTAACTTGCTGTGTGACCCTGAGTAAGTCACATTCCCCCTTTGGGCCCTGTTTCCTCTTCTGTAAAATGGGAATGGTTTCTGCTCTGTTCAAATCAGATGATGGACATAAGACAAGGGTGTGTTATAAGCTTGTATAAAGATGACTTTTAAAGAAATAGCCTTCCTGTGTATAGCCACAGGAGCCCTCTCATCAGTCAAAATCATGTTCCTAGTGACCCAGGAAGGCCTCACGGGTCTGCAGAGTAAGGCTTATGACAGCACCTTGCTATTATGTATACACCGCACTGCGTAAGTCAGGTTCCGGAAGATGTTTCCTTCCATCTTGGCTCGGCCATAGGAGCAAACAAAGACGCCTCCCTTTCCGTCCCGGAAGAGGCACTTGCGGATGAGGCAGCCCTGCACGGAGCTGGCCAGTGCCATGGCCTCCTTGTCCTTCTGCAGCTCCTGCTGCAGGGAGTTCAGCACTAGGCAGCTGGGCAGCTGAATGGACGCTCCTGGAAGTGGCGGGCCTAGAAAGGAGCCCCCTAGCACAGGGCGTGGGCCCTGCACTTGGTAGGACAGTCTGTATGTGAGCTGGTCCTCGTCCTCGTCCTCACCACTAGGACTCAGTCCTCCATCGCTGCTGTCTGGGGTCTGGGCCACCCTTTCCCCATCACTGCCCACCTCTGCCTCCAGGGAGCCAGCCTTGGAGCCTGGCTTTGGGGAGGTAGAAGCTGGGCTGGTAGGGCTTTGGCTGCCTTCAATGACGATGTCACAGGTCCTTGGGCTCCAAGCCTGGTCCCTGCTCTCCAGGTCCAGGGACATTAAAGAGTCAGAGTTCTCCGTGGGGAGCACACTGGGGGAGGACTTGATAAGCCCTAGTAGATACTTGTAGGCCCAGTTCTTGTCTGCAGATGGGTGGCCCTCCACAGTCACAGAGTTGTTTTCACTGCCCACAAATTCACAGTTTTCCAGCACACACAGGGGCACGTTGTGAAGGAAAACATGGGTGTTTTTGAAGGTGCAAAACTTCACTTGGCAGGTGCCTGGGCCATGGACCTGGATGTGCCCGTTCTCAAAGTTGCAGTTGTCGAATTGGACATGACCTGATGTTGTCTGAGGAATAAAAAAGAGAAAGTAGATAAAACAGGGGTAAGAACTGTTTTGCTAGTCAGTACTCTAACTGCTCTTTAAGGAGGGTGGAGCATGGAGAAGCCATGTATCCTGCTGATACTGTTCTCTCCCCTACCCACTAGGGCATATGTCGCCCCCTCCCCCCCGCCCCGAGAGGGGGATGGGGACAGGACAGGAGGCTGCACTGCATCAGAGGGGGGATAATTTGGAGTTGCCTGCTTTTCCCTCCTTCCAGTCCCAAGGGGAAGGGGACAAGAGTGGAAATGGCTAATGGCAGAAAAGTTCACGCTATGCAACAGGGCCCTTCCTGAAGATCTCGGATCTCAAGCAAATTCTCCCAATACTCAAGAAATGCTTAGTGAGAATATAAACTTTAAGAGGTGAAGATGGGGAAGAGGGTTCTGAGAAGCCAAATGCTCAGAAGGATGCTGTGTGAAATGGAATCAGTGGTAACCAGGAGGGTGAGCACCACTCTAGGGATGAAGAGGAGTGACAGGGAGAGCTTTGAACTTTGAGAAACACAAGAAGTGGCTGGGATCTGAGCAACTTTACTGCGAACCCTGAAGGGTGAGGGAATCCCAACTCGGTATCTCGGTTATGTGAAGGAAGTATGAGGTCATGAGGTGTTGTGCTACGTCTCACCCCTTCAGACCACTTCCTGTTCCCCATCCTCTCTCAGCCCTGCAGCACCCCACAGAGCATCAGCTTGGTGGGCACAAGGCCAGGCAGAACCCTGTGGGCCGACAGAAGACAGGCCAGGAGGGGCTGAGCCCTGCCTGGACTGGGGCAGGCAGTGGGGAAGGCTCACCCACAGGTACTGGGAAAGAGTCAGCCTGTCTGGCAACTGGAACATAGCGGTAGAGCAGAGCAAAGGACGGCAGGCTACGTCCCTAACGAGGGGGACGAGGTATGCTGCCGCAGCTGGGCAGCACCGAGCAGCGGTTAAGATGGGCTCTGGAGTCTGACTTCATGGGGTGCTCCCATCTCTGCCTCTTTCAAGTGTGTCACCCCGGATAGGATTTCACCTTTCTGAGGCTCAGCTTCTTTGTCTGCAACAGGGGGCTTACCAGCTAAGGAAGCACAAGGCAGAGAGCCAGGTACAAAGTTGGCACCTAATAAAAATTAGCCATCATTACCCAGGATCAGGGACACAAAGAACAGAGACTCCTCTCAGGGTGGGAAGGGCTGAGCCCCACAGCACCACTCACCTGAGCCTCTCAGCTACCAGGCCTCACTGAGAAGCCCACCCACTCTGTGTTCCTGACAAGTAACTGTTTCTGGATTTCACACTAAATGCCACCAGATGGATTTGAAATGTAAAATGAGGGAGGGTTCCATGATCCCCCTGAGTGACAGACACATCCACCCCCTGAACAGATTCTACATTCTCTAGCAGTGACCACCCTTGAGAGCCTGGCCTGAGCTTACTTGCCTTGACCTCTGTAAGTTCTTCCTTATGGCTAACTTATTTTTTTCTGCTGCAATTTAAGTCTATTTTCCTTTACTTTGTCCCCTCTGTAGATGAACGCCAGCTCTCTGGAGATGAACTGCCATTGCTAGGGTTCTCCTCATAAGTCACTGAAAACTGCTCTGAAATCACTCTGGCCTTTGCATTTTTCCTGCAAGGTCATCCTAGACCCTTGTCCTGTTTTTAGTTAAAAGACAATCAGGGGCAGAGCACTGATACATGCCAAGCATGAAGCCAGATGGTGGGCTGGGCTACAGAGAAGTGAAGGCCAGGCCCCCACCCCATCTGCAGCTATACTTCTAAGTGGGAAGGAGAGGCTGAAACCAACAAATTATTCTCAGAGTAAATGGAAACATCCAGGGTCTGGAATCAAACTTTCTTCTGGGTCTGCAGACCCGTGCAGGAATCGTTCATCAGTCCTTCTGAAATATTCTAGGCCTAAAAAGCAGGCTTTTAGGTTTCTAAAGAATACAGCATAGTGTGATTTCAAAAGTGCTTAGAATTTGAGTTCTAACTTCACTAATTATGCATTTGAGAAAATTACTTAGCATCCTTGAGCTTTTTAATGGCCCTTCTCTGCAAAATGGAGATCCTACATTTACTACCTACCACGAATCTTTGTTGTGGGGATCAAATGAAGTCACAGATGGAAAGTCATCTAGATTATCAATATAGACTTTGGATCCTAGCTCTGTCCCTTACTAAGTCTGAGACCTGGGTATGTCACTTCATCTTGCTGAGCCTCAGTCTGCTCATCTATAAAACCAGATGACACTACGCATCTTACTAATGGCTGTAAAGCACATGCCAGGCTCACAGTGTACCTGCAAACAACTGGTAGTATAGCAATCATTACAAACTTGAGAGACAATTTGTTGTTATTGGTAGAAATAGAGGCAACATAATTATTACTATTACAATGTTTCTATGCAGTGTAGAGCTGTAAACAGCTCTGCCGAGACCTACTGACCTACCAGCGTGTCAAAACATATTTTGCTTTGCATACAGCCTGTGCTCTGTGTTACTAGAAGATCTGTGTTGGGCTGGTATTTCCTGAGCCTCTCTCAAGGCACCCTTGGTAAAAGCCTGACCTTCCTTGAGCCTCCTCCACAGGCTGGGGCTGATGTGCTGAAGGTCACTGGTCCTGCACAGCCTCCCCTGGCTTTGCCCACCTCTGGGCACGAGGTGCTCTTGCCTCCTGCAGCCATGGCATACTCCCAGACCTGGCCTTCCCACCTAGCTACTCCACCTGTGGTTCCAGTTCATCCAGTGGGGAAGAAAAGTACAAAGCAGTTTGGGTTCGGAGTCCTTGGCTTATTTTTTAATACAGTTTTGCCAGGAATAAAGCAGAATGTTGATTATTACTGTTCCCAATTCTCAACTGGTGCAGAGGAGTGTGTTCTAGGAACAACAAAAAAACTCTTAATTCCAACAGAAAGGGGTTGCAAACCCACTAAGAAGAGGCCAAAGCCCAGGGTCAGGACTGAGAGGCCAGCTGTCTGGATACGGAGACGCACCTTAAACATGAACGGGGAGAACCAGGCGGGCATGAAGACAAGGTTGCACAGGCGTGTGGTGGAGCAGTGCTGGTCAATGCTGGCTAGCAGGGCCACTTCACCCAACTTCCCGCGGCCGACGATCTCCACGGGTACCTTCAGGATGATTTCACCTTGCTCTTCATACACACCTGGGAAAAGCACAATTCGGTCATACAGGCTAGCCATGGCCAAGGCACTGCCCAGGCTGTCAAACTCATGGCCTGGCCCAACACTCAGGGTACGGCGTTCCCTCCTCCGGCGAAAGAGAGAAAAGCAGACAGAGGACTCCAAGTCCAGGGCATTCTTGGTCCATGTCTTGGAGGCAAGGTAATGCTGCTTGAAGGCCTCCCTCCAAGACTCAGGCTCCACATCGGGCTGGTTGGGCCAGTTGGGGTGGCGGCATTCGGTGCATCCCAGACACAGCTGCCGCCAGCGGGTGCTGTCGAGACTGAGGATCAGGTCATACCAGGCCCTGCACACCAGGCTGCAGCGGCCCAGGTCAGGAAGGTGCAGGTAGGCTAAAATCATGCGCCAGAGCTCCAAGGGGAGACCGCCAGCCTCCATGGTCACCTGGGAGCAAACACAAAAGACGTTTTTGTTGACCTTGCTTATAGCTCCTCCTCTTAAAATATTCCCTGCCTTCTCGGGACCCCAAGGGTGTGCAAGAGAACAAGGCCAAGCCAATCACAGGGCTCCATCCTCTCAATCAGAATCCTCCTCTGGGATTGTTCTACCTGGAATCAGCAGGCAAGATGCTCCTTTCTCTTGGTCAGAAACTATAAGGATATGACCCCCAAACTGCTGTTAGCCACGTTCCCCACTGGTGGAAAAAACCTTGTGGTACCAGAGCCAGGCAGAGATGAGGAGATGAAAGATGAAAATTGAAAAAGAAAGAAAAAAAGTGATCACATGTATATGTGTCCTGCTGGTACTGATTCCAGATTCCTGAAGCTGCCCTGGAATCTGTAGTTCTTTCTTCACTTCTAGGAGGTTCCTCGATGGCCTTCTAATAAATTCCCTTTTTTGCTTTAGCTAGTTTGATGTGGGTTTCTATGACTTGTAACAAGGTTTTGGACTAATATAGAGGGAACCCACCTTTTGCTGTTTTGGTTCTAGAGGTCTGGACCTCCTAGACTCCCAGGAAAGGGACCTCTATTTCTTCACAGCAAGGGGAATGAGAACTAGGGCAGTGAGTGTCCATTTGTCCACCTCTCTTCACTGTCAGATCACGTAATTATACTGTACTCCCGCATGAGGCAGCCTCAGGAAAGACTGCTGCTGGGTCAGGCTGTGGGGTTTGGTCCTGGCTCTGCTGCTGGTCACCGATGCAACCCTGTGTCCTAAACACGTGCCATGCTGGCTGCCCAGCCATCTGCCCCCTTGCTTTCTGCCCGACCCACAATTTACCCCATGTTTAGAATGCAGAGCCCCCTGGTAGCTGTGTCTGTGGAACAAGACAACTCCCCAGGCCCTTGGCAGCATAGAGTGGGGCTCTGGATGGCTCCAACTGGGCCGCTGAAATCTCCTGCGGAACAGGAGTTGTAATTCTAGAATCTTTCTAGATTTCTTTCCTGAATGGAGAAGAATGAATGGCTTCTTTCCTAAGCTATAAACTCAGGAAGAGTTGCTAATGACCATTTTCTTTGGGGGGAGGGGCAGAAGAAGGTAGTCTACGTTGAGAGAAGGATGAACTGGAGACAAAGAAATGAGCAGAGAAAAGGGCAAAAACCATCCCAATTTCTCTATAGCACTCCAGGTCACGGTTCCAGCCTATGCTTAAAGCTCAGCTTTATCCTTGCCTTTTGAATTCCATCAGCTAGCTCTGTGCTCTTGCGATAAATTCTCTTTTCGCTCAAGTTGGCTTCATTGAATTTCTGTCATGTATACCTAGCTAAAGCTCTGTCATTTATGAGTGTCAGTTTCCCCACCTAAAAAACAAGAGGACTGTATTAGATGACCTAGAGCAACTTCCAAGTCTGAAACCCTATGAAGTCTCTAGACAACTAGAAACTAAAACTGGAAATAGGGCAGACTTCACAGCCAACTGTAATCAAGTTGTTAACCTCTTCGGGGCCTTGGTTTTCCTCTCCATTTTATGAAAATGATGATCATACCTGTCAGCTATCTAGGCCCAGGGAGGCTAGAAGCACAAATGTGTGATGTACACAAGATTTCTGGGCTTCATCATGACAGGTGTGACTTTAACTCTACAGATTAGTATGAGGGCCTGGGTAGGTAGGTTCTTCTGTAACGATCACCTGGTTGAGACTTTCCTAGTCTTCGGCAGCACTGGAGAAGAACAGGCCTCTGGACTGGGAAGCATGACAGAGCAAAGGCTGGGCTCCTGATAGCTGTCACTCTCTCAAATGAACACGGCTTTATTCATAGTGTGAATGGGTCTCGGTGACACCCATGTCCTGTTCCTCACCTCCTTCTTTAGCCATATCTTTTAGGCTTTTTTAAGAGAAAAAAAATTTTTTAAGTTTATTTGTTCATTTTGAGAGAACGAGCAAGAGAGAGAGAACTAGACAGGGAGGGGCAGAGAAACAGGGGGCAGAGGATCTGAAGCAGGCTCCAAGCTGACAGCAGAGAGCCCGATGTGGGGCTTGAACTCATGAACTGGGAGATCATGACTCAAGCCGAAGCCAGATGCTTTAACCTAACACTGAGCCACCCAGGCACCCCCAGAAAATTGTTCTTCCCTCCTTCTCTAACTATTGTAAGAAGGTAAATATAGTTAGGTGATCACATCCCTTGGCTTCAACTATAAAATCTGAGTCTCCAGCCCCAATAGTCTCTCTCAGGCCTTCTACACATGGGCGCCCAATTGCCTGTTGAGCATTTCTACTTGAATGTTACACAGATACTAAAGATTCAGCAAATAGAACCTCAACTTCCACTTCTGGCCATGACAAAATAACTGGAATTAGATTTTCCCTCCTGCCATGAAAAACTATAAAGTTGCTCTAGGGACGCCTAGGTGGCTCAGCTGGGTAAGCACCTGACTCTTGATTTCAGCTCAGGTCAAGATCTCAGTCATCAAATCAAGCCCTCTGTCAGGATCCCTGCTCAGTGTTGAAACTGCTTGGGATGCTCTCTCTCCCCCTCTCGGCCCCTCCCACCTCAACTCTCTCTCTCAAAATAAATAAACTTAAAAAAAAAAAACCCTATCAGTTTGCTCTGAATATGTGGTTTCAGGCACTGAACAGCATGCTGCGCCAGGCTGTAATTTTGGAGAGAAGGGAAACACAGGAGAGGAGCGTGCAACTGTTCTAGCTTTCATTCGGGGCACCTTCTCTTAGTGGGGCAGAGAGATGGTGCCCAAGCAGAGTTGTAGTCTCACTGAGCAGGCAGATCTGAGTTCTGAGAGGCTCGGGTGCCTGGAATCTGTGAGGCAGGGTGAGGGGGGTAGGCAGTGTCTTGGCTCAAGGCTAGACTGCACAGGCACAGGGCAAGCCTTCATGGGACCTAGTAGACATCGCCTGCTAGGGATACATGGGGGCACTAGAGATCACGCAGAGCTGGGAGCTAAGGGAAGTCCAGTCCAGAACATGGAGTCTCACACCAAGACTCAAAGTATATGCTACAGGAACATATTCAAATTGGAAGAATAAAAGCAAATCTGATAGGATCAAAAGGTTCTGCCAGTAACTGAACTGTTAGAATACAGCAAACACTCAACAAAAACAAAAACAAAAAGAGAACATAATCTAGACTCCCTCAACACATCAGCCACAAGACAGTGTGGTATGGGCATGAGGAAAATAGAGTTCAGGACAGAAAATATGTATACTGAGCAATTAACTTTTGAGCAAATACCAATGCAATTCAATGGATAAACAAAAGCCTTTTCATCAAATGGTGCTGGGAAAGCTTGACGTACGTATGAAAAAAATGAACTTCTGACACATACCATATACAAAAATTTAAGATTAAGTTTATACCTCAGCACAAAATACAAATCTATAAAGCTTCTAGAAGAAAACATAAGAAAGTACGCAACCTTGGGATACACAAAGATTTGTGAGAACACAAAAGGTACTAATCATAAAAGACAAAATCAATAAATTAAAATCTATCTCAAAATCTGCTCATCAAAAGGCATTATTAAGAAAATGTAGGGGTGCCTGGGTGGCATGATCTCACAGTTTGTGGGTTTGAGCCCCGCATCTGGCTCTGTGCTGACAGCTCAGAGCCTGGAGCCTGTTTCAGATTCTGTGTTTCCCTCTCTCTCTGACCCTCCCCTCCTCATGCTGTCTCTCTCTCTCTCTCTCTCTCAGAAATAAATAAAAACATTAAAAAAAAAATCCTACAGCTCAACAATAATTTAAAAAATCCAACAAAAAACAGGCAAAGATTTGAACAGGAACTTCACAAAAGTAAAATTAATGGCCAGTAAGTTCAAGAAGAGCTGCTCAACATCATTATATTCATTACTTGATTTATATTAAAACCATAATGACAGAGATATGTGTGTCACACTCACTACAATGGCTGAAACTAAAAACACTAAAAGCATCAGAGCACCAATATGTGAAGCAACCAGAACTCTCATACATTGCTGGTAGGAGCATAAAATACTACAATTACTTTAGAAAACGGTTTGGTAGTTTCTTCTGCCATTAAACATGCACCTATGCTTTGACCTAGATATTTACTGGAGATCAATGAAAATGTACACCTATGAAAAGACTTATATGAGGATGTTTACAGAGGCTTTACTCACAACAGTAAAATGACCAAACAAAAAAATTATAAACAACCCAAATGACCATCACCATCACCTCTTGATCGCCTCAATTCATAATCTCATGGTTCATGAGACTGAGCACTGCCTCAGGCTCTGCACTGACAGAGTAGAGCCTGCTTGGGATTCTCTCTCTCTCTCTCTCCCTCCCCCCATCTCCCTCTCTCTCAAAAATAAAAATAAATTAAAAAAAAAATCAGAACACACCTGAAGGGGTCACAAAGAAACTTCAGGAGTGAAGGAAATATTTACATCCTCACTGGTATGTTAGTCACATGGATGCAGACATCTGAAAAAAATCACTGGACTGTATGCTTCTGTTCTGTGCATTTAATTGTATGCAAATTATCTCTATTTCAAAAATAGTATAGATTATCATCTCATCTCTCCACCTCACCCCTGTTCTACCACTGGTATTCCATGTCCCAGTTAATCACGCCATCATCTTCCACGACCCCACCTGGTAACTAGAGAAACCTTGATTTCTTTTCTCTGCTTCTGTCCCAGATAGTCTCTCAAATCCTGTATTTCCACCTCCTTAAGCACTCTCAAGTTAGTCCTTTCCTCTCTCCACTCTCTGTCACCATGTTGTTTTTGGCCTCGCCATCTTTAGTTTGGATTACCATGGCTGACTCTCAACTGGTCTCCCTGGAACCAGTCCTGCCTCCTCCATCCGATCCATTTCGCACACAGCCACCAACGGAATCCTTCTAAAATATAAATCTGGTCATGCCAATGGTCAGCTTAGATTTCCTCAATGACTCCCCATGGCTTCCAGGATAAAACCTAGTACAGATGACAGGTCATGAGCTTGTCTATTTCTCAAGTCTCACCACTGACATTTGTCCCATCTATGCTACTCTCCCAACACGGCCTTCTTCTGAGGGTCTCTCTCAGACATTCAGTGCCTCCTCTGGCCTCCCACAGCTATCTGAACTGTTCTATCACAGCCCTTTTAAAGTGTAAATCAAGAGGTGCCTGGGTGGCTCTGTTGGTTAAGCTTCTGAGTCTTGGTTTCCTCTCAGGTCATGATCTCATGGTGTATGAGTATGGTCCCTGCACTGAGAGCATGGAGCCTGCTTGGGAATTTCTCTTTCTCTCTCTCTGCTCCTTACCTGCTCATGCGAGTGTGCTCTTTCTCAAAATAAATAAACTTAAAAAAAACAAAGTGTAAACCAAAGTGAATTACAGAGCAAATGTACAGTTTAGTGAACTGTTTTACAAGGCAAACATCCTACTAACCACTACCTACATCAAAAAACAGAATTTTGGGGAGTCTGGGTGGCTCAGTAAGTGGAGCATGTGACTCTTGTGCTCAGGGTTGTGAATTCAAGATTACTTAAAAAAAAAAAAATCTTAAAACAAAAACAAACCAGAATTTTGTCAGCCACTCTAGAAGCCTCCCCATGTGCCCCATTCCAATCTTCCTCACTAAGGTCTACATATTCTTGACTCTGTAGTAATCACTTCCTTAGGTCTTTGTGCTTTTACCACCTAAGTGTGTATCCTTAGATACTAGAATTTGTTTTGTCCTCAGGTTTTTAGCTTGATGTGTGTTTGTTTCTCATTCTACCCACAGGTTCCCCGTCCATACCCCCCGCACCCCTTCCCCGGTTTTTTTCACAAGTTGTCTGTTGAAGAACCTCACCCATTGGACCAAGTTCTCAGTGTGAATTTTGCTGACTGCATGCTTTCTCAGAAGTCCTACTTGTTACCCTATCATCTGTATTTCCTGCATATGGGCAGCTGGATCCAGAGGCTTGAGAAGGCTCAGGTTCAATCCTTTTAGCAAGGCTACCAGTGGCATGGTGTCTTTTTATCATGAAGTATCCACAATCCTGGCTATCTCTTTTTTGATGTTCCTGTTCACGATGCCCAATGCCTAGATCCATGAATTTACTAGAGGTAACAAAATGGTGATACCTTCCTAACTGTATCACTTGGTTCATTTCTTTGCTGAAGTAATTGCATTAGGAGATGCTGTTCTTCATCTAACATTTGGTTATCCAGTTTTACGTTACATTGACGAAAGGCTTCTTGTATTTCCCAGGTTTCAAGACAAAGAGCGGGTTCTCTGTTATTCTTTGAAGGTAACCAGTGTGTGTGTGTGTGTGTGTGTGTGTGTGTGTGTGTGTGTGTGTAAACCACTATTATGAAGTCATGGATTTAAACATATTTTATAGGGCTCAAGTCTTAGAAATTGCTGTTCTTACTGAAACTCAAATTGAGCCATCTTTGCCCTCCATTTGGTTCCTCAGTCATTTTGCTACAACTTCAGTCATCGTTGATAGCTTCCTTGCTATCAAAGGAAGACACACAAAGTGGTGTGTCAAGATGTTCCTGACTCATTTTTTACATTTCCTGCCCAGACATCGTCTCAGACTTTTCTCTAAGAATTTTTTTTTTAAATGTTTGTTTATTTTGAGGGAGAGAGAGCACAAGTGGGGCAGGGGTAGAGATGGAGAGAGAGAATCCCAAGCAGACTCTGCACTGTCAGTTCAGAGCCTGACAAGGGGCTCGACCCACAAACCACGACATCATGACCTGAGCCAAAATCAAGAGTTGGACACTTAACTGACTGAGCCACACAGGTGCCCCAAATTGTATTTTTACTGACATTTTTACTGAGATAATTGTAGATAATCGTAAGTGCTTATGCAGTTGTAAGAAAGAACAGAAACCTCTTGCATACATTCCTAGTTTCCCTCCGTGGCAACACCGTGCAAGACCAGACTCACAGCCAGCACAGTGACACTGGCACAGCCTACCGCCTTACTCAGATCTCCTGTTTCACTTGTACTCGTTTTCGTGGGTATTACATTCTATACAATTTTGTCAGTTGTGTAGGTTCGTGTATCCACTCCCACAGTCAAGACACCGAAAAGTTCTGACACAAGATCCCTCGTGTCACTCTTTTATGAGCACACCTACCACCCTCCTGACTCCTCTTCCGTTCTTAACCCCTGACAACCATTCATCTGTCTTCCATTTCTAAATCCGTGTCACTTCAAAGATGTCATATTAATGGAATTATACAATACCTCATCTCTTGGGATTGGCTTTTTTTCACTCTGCATAATTCCCTGGAGATTCATTCAAGTTGGGTGCACCAGTACTTTGTTCCTCTGTAAAGCCAAGAAGCATTTCATGGGGTGGATGTCCCACAGTGTACATCTGCAGAATCCTGACAAATGCATTCACGCATGTAATCTCAAACCGTATCGAAAACAGAATATTCCCTCATGACTTTTCTGTCAATCCCTACCCCAAATCCCAAGAGGCAACTGCTGCTGTGACTTTTCTACCATAGATTAGTTTTGTCTGTTCTAGAATTTCATATAAATGGAAACACACTGTATGTATTCTTTTGTGTTAAGGCTTCTTTCACTTAGTATAACATTTCTGAGATTCATTCATTTTGTTGGATGTTATCAGTAGCTTGTCCCTTTTTACTGCTGAGTGGTTATTTCATTGTACATAATATATCACTGTTTAAAAAAATCAATTCACCTATAGATGGAAATGGAACTGTTTCCAATTTGGGGCGATTATGAATAATGCTGCTGTTAGTATTCTTATGAAAGTGCTTTGTGGACATATGTTTTAAGTTTTCTTGAGTAAATACCTACAAATGGAGTTGCCGGGTCTTTTTTCCGAAGAAGTTACACCATTTTACCCTCTCACCGAAAATGTGCAAGAAATACTGTTGCTCACAACTTCACTACCATTTATTGTTGTTGGTCTAATTTTCATTCTGGGGGGTATATAATCACATCTCATTTTGGTCTTAATTTTCACTTCCCTCAGGACTAATGATGTTGGGCACTTTTTATGTATGTACTGCCATCCATAAATCTCCTTTTAGGAATGTGTTAACGTCTATTTTTTTTAATTGGGTTGTCTTTTTATTACTCAATTATAGGACTTTTTAATATAACTTTTTCCAGACAAATGTTCTGTGAATATTTTCTCCCAGTCTGTAGCTTATCTTTCCATTTTCTTAATGGTACTATTTGGTGAGAAGTTTTAAATTTTGATAAAGTCTAACTCACCTTTTTAATTTAGTGTTTAATTATTTGAGACAGAGAGAGAGAGACAGAGAATGAGAATGTGAGCATGAGTTGGGGAGGGGGCAGAGGGAGAGAGAGAATCCTAAGCAGGCTCGACCCCCAGCACGGAGCCCAATGTGGGATCATGACCTGAGTGGAAACCAAGAGTCAGATGTTCAACTGACTGAGCCACCCAGGCACCCCTCACCTTTTTAAAATGATTGTTTCCTTTTAACTGAGAAGCCTTTGGTAATCCCCATGTCACGAAGTTATTCCCTCATAGTCTAAAATCTTTGTGGTTTTAACTTTTACATTTTGATCTGTGATCCATCATAAATTAATTTTTGCTACGGTAAGAGGTAATGGTTGAAATAAATGTTTTACGTGAGCATTTAGTTATACCAACACTGTTTGTTGAAAAGAACCTCCTCTCCCTAGTTGGTTTGTTTTGGTGTCTTTGTCAAAAGTCAAGTGACAACAGTGTGGGTCTGTTTCTGGGTGATTTATTCTGTTTCATGGATGGATCTGTTAATCCTTAGGACAGCACCACACTAGCACTGCGCTTCTGACACTTTTCCTTTTATGAACTATGCTTCTGGTGTCAAGTCGGAGAACCCTTCACCTAGCTCTGGATCCTGAAGACTTTCTCCTGTGTTTTTTCTAAAACTTCTATAATTTTACTTTTTACATTTAGGTCTGTGATCCATTTTGATTTAATTTTTGATTAAAGTGTAAGGCTTAGTTTGAAGGTTTTTTTTGGTTTTGTTTTTATTTTTATTTTTGGCCTACGGTTGTCCAACTGTTCCAGCTCCATTTGTGGAAAAGACTATCCTTTCTCCATTGAATTGCTTCTGCACTTTTGACAAAAATCAGTTGAGCTTATTTTTGTCCTGGTATCTTTATTTTCTTATAGACTTTTTAAATGTTTCTTTATTTTTGAGAGAGTAAGAGACAGAGAGACCAAGAGAGAGGAGGGGCAGAGAGAGGGAGACACAGAATCTGAAGCAGGCTTCAGGCTCTAAGCTGTCAGCACAGAGCCTGACATGGGACTGAAACCCACGAACCGTGAGATCATGATCAGATGCTTAACCAACTGAGCCACCCAGGTACCTGTGTCCTGGTATCGTTAAATGTAAGCACTATTTCAAGACCAAAACCAGGGTATTAATGATGTTTATTTCCACACTGTTTCTAAGGCTTCTCAGTAGACTTCTATCTCCTCTATTAGATTGTGGTGTTCTTTGGGGATAGGGACTGGACACTTTGATCTCAGAAGGCTCAATACTGGGTGCTGACCCCCTTTTCTATTCCAACTATTCAGGGAAACAGAACAGACAAGAAAATCATTCTAAGCAACAGGATACCTAGGTTAGGATACTAGACAGATATTAGACAGCATACTCTAATACCAGGTCCACTCTTCCCAGATACAACAAGAGTGAGACTCTGGTTTTTTCCAGGCTCTGGGTTCTTACAGGAAATGATGAGAGTAAGTAAACCAGAGGAGATAACTACATGATTTATTATTACCATAACTGACTCGACCAGAGTCAATGGGAAAAGAAACAGGTCAGCAGTACTTCTGGTAAGATTAAGTTAACCCTTCTATATATATATTTAACTTTCACAGAACTCCTTCTTTCCCTCACAGCTTCCTGTCTTTGCACTCCACATCTCTCTCAAACTTCTTCTCAGACCTTATGTAGCTCTGCCTTTATTTACTCTTTTCCTAATTTTAACGTTGTTCTTCTCATTATGATGTCATTTGCATGAAGAAGGAGCTCTGATGCCAGGGCCACTCTGAGTGGGTTAGATTCAGGTCAGTCTCAACTAGGCCCTCTCTTCCAACTGCTTTTGGCTCACCTCACTCATAAGATAACAACAACAGGGGTGTCTGGGTGGCTCAGTCACTTAAACAACCCACTTTGGCTCAAGTCATGATCTAAATGGTTCATGGGTTCAAGCCCTGTTTCAGGCTCTGTGCTGACAGCTCAAAGCCTGGAGCCTGCTTCTGATTCTGTGTCTCCCTCTCCCTCTGCCTCTCCCCTGCTTGTGCTCGGTCTCTGTCAAAAATAAATGTAAAAAAAAAAGGATAACAATAATGACAAAAGATATTTTGCTGTGTCTCCATTAGGTCTTGGTGACCTGTACAGGGTTCTCTGAACTCAGTGACTTCATATTATCACATTGCTTCTAGCTGGTCTCGACCCTTCACACAGTCCCTCTCTTGTGACTAGCTCAGGTACAGCCTCCTTCTTCCACATAATAGGTGCCCCTCTGATCATCTATGTACCATATGCTTTACATTTATCTTTTTCAATTTTTTATCTCCCTATTAAAAGGAGCTCATTTATAATACTTTTAAAGCTGTCTTTGCTTCACCTGTTTTTTCCTTATTATTTTGCACTTCAATGGAAAAATCACCAAAAAAACCACTATTATCCTCATTTTAGCAAGTTTCTATCTGAAAGCATACAAATCATCAACCACCCAAGCATTTCTTCCCAAAGGGTTATCTTTTTTTTTAAGTTTATTTATCTGGTGTGTGTGTGTGTGTGTGTGTGTGTGTGTGTACGCACACAGAGAGACCGAGAGAGAGAATCCCAAGCAGGTTCTACACTGTCAGAGCAGAGTCCAATATAGCTCTCAAACTCACGAACTGGGAGTCATGACCTAAGCAGAAAACCAAGAGTTTTGTCTTGTGTGTGCACGTGGAAAAGGGACATCAAAAGGGAGAGAGAATCCTGTGCCATCAGCACGGAGCCCAGTGTGGGGCTTGATCTCATGAACCGTGATATCATGACCTGAGCTGAAATCAAGAGTCCGACACTCAACCAACTGAGCCACCCAGGCACCCCTTGAAGGAGTATCTTTTGATCATTTTTAAGAGCTTTGACTTATCTCTTATGGTCCTTGTTCTTTGTCTCTACCTCCCACTTTCCAAGTTATTAACTTCTCTGATTATAACTGTATGTCGTTCTTCCTGGAAGCATCATATACTGTGTATTTTCTGACATGCCTTATCCATGATGTTCTTTCCTTCTACTAGGGACAACTTTGATAGCTGTTCGAGAGTGGATCAGCTAACCTTAAGGACTTAACCTATATAGTCTTTCAGGTGACAGACTCCCATATGGCCTTTTGTAGGTCTGCCCAGCAGGGCCTTCTCTGGGACACACCACTAATGGTCACTATACCCAAATTACACCCACCCACCCTGATAACTGCACCTTACCTTACTTGAACCGTATTCACTATATAACAGCCAACCTATTGTATGCCTCGTGTGACATCTCACAGCACCAAGCACTGCCAATTTCTGTCCCAGATGAGTTTCCTAGTTACCATAGCAGCCCATCAATAAGCAATACACTGGGCCACCACAACTGAATTATAGAGTATACAGCAAGAACCAAATGCCATCTAATACCTGCATAAACTACATGCTTAATAGTGTTTTTAAGTAAACAAATAAGCAGAGGTGAATTTCCATCATGCCTCCACCCCAATTTTTATTTTTGTAAATGTACATAAATTTACTATATAAACCGTTTCAAGGACCTTCCTTCTCCAAGTTTCCTGTATCCATATAGAAATTTCCATGTAGAAATTCTTAAAGTTCCATTGTGAATAAAAAATTAAATAACAAAAATCCCTTTTATTCCTCAGTTCATTTGTTTTGTGAATATAGCCCTTATGGAGTGTGGGAGATACTGGGATGAGAAAAAAGTGATAGAAAATGGACAACCTGGGATAGGAAGAATTGAGTAATACTGCAGCTTACAGAGCTCAAGAGGAAAAGACATCTTTTATTTTTTTGAGAAAGGCAGAGAGAGAGAGAGAGAGAGAGAGAGAGAGAGAGAGAGAGTGCGCGAGCATGAGCTGGGGAGAGGGGCAGAGGGAGAAAGCGAGCATGAACCAGGGAGAGGGGCAGAGGAAGAGAGCAAGCACGAGCCAGGGAGAGGGGCAGAGAGGGAGCGAGCACGAGCCAGGGAGAGGGGCAGAGGGAGAGAGAGCATCTTAAGCAGAGC